GACTTCTTTGGGTTATCCATGGTAATTTACACTATGTATGATAATTGTACTTATGTGTACCTTTGCCTAAATAAACATACCCAAGATCTGGGGGATTGCAAGTGTGGCTCTAGAGAGAAAAGAGGTGAAGATTTGTAATAACTCACTCACAGATGAAGCAAAGGAAGGCCAAGAAAACTAATATGGCATTTATAAAGTGCCCAATTTGCATATTTAATTGCCACTGGGATCAATAAGGTTGGGTGTAAGACTGGGTAGTATGAGAATAGGAAAAATAATCTGTTAGAGACAAGAATCCACTCAAATTCAAGAGCTATGTAACAATAGCAGACAATAGAAATCAATACAGGAGAATATGAGTGTGAGGATCGGGACCGCGTTTGAATACTGGGATGAGAAGAGACTAGTGAAACCCTCCCCAAAACAAATGAAAATTAGAATTGCCCAATATAAGGAACGGTGTTGATAATGAGATCAGAGATTGCATTTTAAAGCCAAGTAGCATAAAGAAAATACACATTTGTCTAAACAGACATGGGTTTTAGTATAGCAAAGTGGGGAATGAAGAGAATTTTGAGAATGAGGAACAGCACTGAGCATGAGAAGTGCACTTCTGCTGTATGTTTCACTGGAAAACAGGACTGAATGACTGTTAAAGCACATAGCCAGAGATAGGAATTCTATTTTATGTGGCTTAGGTTCTTGTAAACAAATGCATACGGGGAAAACCGAGAGATCAACATTTAGAGCTCGCCCTGATTTCCCCTATATTCTGATATTCCAATGTAATATCACCATTATTAGTTAAAACAGCAGTATCAGAGCAGGTGACAGCTATGCATTAGGGTGGTTGGTAAAGTCAATAAGTGGTAGCGGTAGTAAATTAAGAACAGGGAAGCTTCATGTGTAGAGGGCTGTGTCTTTAGGTTTGAATAACAAACCTGTTTGTTCCTCACTGAAGCTGGGGTAAATGCTGATATGACCTCAATCATTTCTGTAATCACAAGAGTGAAAGGTAGTGCTGCAAGAGGTGGATGAAGAATATGAATTAGAGAGGGTAAAGACATTGACAGCTATTAATATAGAAGGCTGCAAAGTTAGTTGTCACCTGAGATGAAGGATCTGTGGAGGAACAGATGTGGGAATCAATGGCTGGGGTAAGCAGTTAGAAAAGTGTGTGTGATGTGACAATAATAGATTGGTATGGATTTTTTTGAGATGGACTTACTTTTTGGTGGATGAATTTGGTAGGGTGTGCAAAAGAAGAAAATTAAAGGTGAATACAGGAAAGAGTAAGGTTATGAGGATAACAAAAAGATTAGGTGATGAAAGGATTGAATATCAGATTGGAGGGAGAGAGTATGGAGGAGGTGAATGTATTCAGATATTTGGGAGTGGACGTGTCAGCGGATGGGTCTATGAAAGATGAGGTGAATCATAGAATTGATGAGGGGAAAAGAGTGAGTGGTGCACTTAGGAGTCTGTGGAGACAAAGAACTTTGTCCTTGGAGGCAAAGAGGGGAATGTATGAGAGTATAGTTTTACCAATGCTCTTATATGGGTGTGAGGCATGGGTGATGAATGTTGCAGCGAGGAGAAAGCTGGAGGCAGTGGAGATGTCATGTCTGAGGGCAATGTGTGGTGTGAATATAATGCAGAGAATTCGTAGTTTGGAAGTTAGGAGGAGGTGCGGGATTACCAAAACTGTTGTCCAGAGGGCTGAGGAAGGGTTGTTGAGGTGGTTCGGACATGTAGAGAGAATGGAGCGAAACAGAATGACTTCAAGAGTGTATCAGTCTGTAGTGGAAGGAAGGCGGGGTAGGGGTCGGCCTAGGAAAGGTTGGAGAGAGGGGGTAAAGGAGGTTTTGTGTGCGAGGGGCTTGGACTTCCAGCAGGCATGCGTGAGCGTGTTTGATAGGAGTGAATGGAGACAAATGGTTTTTAATACTTGACGTGCTGTTGGAGTGTGAGCAAAGTAACATTTATGAAGGGGTTCAGGGAAACCGGCAGGCCGGACTTGAGTCCTGGAGATGGGAAGTACAGTGCCTGCACTCTGAAGGAGGGGTGTTAATGTTGCAGTTTAAAAACTGTAGTGTAAAGCACCCTTCTGGCAAGACAGTGATGGAGTGAATGATGGTGAAAGTTTTTCTTTTTCGGGCCACCCTGCCCTGGTGGGAATCGGCCAGTGTGATAATGTGTGATAATTTTTTGAATGTCTCTGAGGTTATGGTGAAAGAGTTCAAGGAACAGCTGAAGAATGTGTGGGCTGAGAGGTAGTGAAGGCCTCAGAGGACAAAGAGACAGGAACATCAGAGGTAAGGACTTCACTGGGGTGACCATTTTAGAGGTTTCTACTATACTAGGTGTCTTTCCTTGAAAACAAAGTCAGGTCACTGCCATGTATAACAGACCCCTTCATATTTTTCTTTTAACAGTTCCCTGGAAACCACCTCTTACCCTACCTGGTACCTAGCACCAAAAGGGCACATCCAAAACTGACTTAGGCTGATAATAGTACTACAATCAAGTACCAATAATAGTATTATAATCAAGTACTAAACATAACCCTGTGTAGACTAAAACAATTAACTGTGCAACCACCTTTCAGTTAATAATGGTGGCAGGAGAGTCGAAAAGAATATCAGGAGTCTTACTTTCAGCTGCCAGCACATGACACGATTTGATATTAACCCTTTCGGGGTTTCAGCCGTACTAGTACGCATAAATTCCAGCGCCCTCAAATTTAGCAAGAGAAAGCTGGTAGGCTTACATATGAAAGAATGGGTCTATGTGGTCGGTGTGCGCAGCAAAAAAAAAAAAAAAAAAAAACTTTGACCGCGTTTCTGGTTTAAAACCGACTTTGCACTGTATTTTCGTATGGTATATATGGTTGTATTCTAGTTTTCCTGGTCTTATTTTATAGAATGGAAGACATATTACAGAAATTGAGATGATTTTGATTGGTTTCACAATGAAAAGTACCTTGAAATTAAGCTCAAAGCAGCAGAAATGTTCAATTTTTACAAAAGTTCAAAAGTAAACAAATCATGCCACGCGTCCAATACACGTCAACTGGTGAATCTAATATTCTTTCACAAGTGCACTGGTATTATTTATACCATTTCTACACTAATACAGTAGTCTGCATAACAGTAAATCTTCTATTTTTTGTGAGAATAAAAATTCAAAGTGGAAAGCAAAAGAAATATAAGAGGGGCGTGGGGATGTGACTAATGAACAGAGGAAATGTTATTTTAGTGCCAGGAATGTCTTTCTTGTATTTTCTGGACCCTATTACATCGTTGAGACCACTAACTTCGCGAGAGCATAATTCCCTAAGTTTTCCATCAAATTTCATACTTTTGGTGTCATTATGATCGGGAAAAGATTCTCTATCTTTTCATAAGAAAAAAATTTTTTTTTTTTTAAATTTTGGCGACCCTGAGAACAAGTCTGAGAGGGCCTGGCGACCCTCAAAGGGTTAAGTGTCGATTGTCTCAGACATAATGCTTGACAATAATTAATGTAATATTTTCACTAATATTTAATTGTGCATGGGATATATGTATCGTATTGTAAACTAATGCCCGAGTTCTGCCAAGCTGTCTGTAGCTTTAGTCTTACAAAAATAAAAATGATAATGTTGTTTTTCTTGCTTTAGACTACAAATGCAACAGAAATATTATTTACCTTAAATTGTGGTTGCTGGTATATGTTAGTCATTGCGAAGAGAATGGAGATGCATGGTGTGGCCCTACTGGGCTGAGATGGATGGTTGAGGTACTGATACCAAAGCTGATGGTTGTATTAGTGTGCATAAATTCTGTAATGGATCTCTTGCTTCTTTTACCCTGCAGTACATAATACATTACTCCAGAAGCTTGGTACTGCCAGGTTGGAGTCAGAGTCCATTGATGCAACTAGTTTTTTCATCACTTTTCTTGTGTAGTTACACTTGAATGACCTAAAAACTCCACGATCCAGCGGTTGTATTAAAGATGATGTATTTGGAAGTAAAAATACAATTTTTACATGTGGGGTCACATCCAGCAAAGCTTCTGGATGAGTACGGGAATTATCAGGAATGAAAAGAGCCTTGAATGCAAGGTTCTTGCTGTGCAGGTAAAACTTGACTTCAGAAATAAAGTGATGCTTAAACCAGTCAATAAATATTTCCTCTGTCATCTATGCTGATTGGTTTGACCTTCAAATTACTGGTAAGGTGTTTTTATCTACACCTTTCAAAGCACATGGATTCTTAGAGCAGTAAATAACCATGGGCTTGCACATGAAATTGCCTAATGCATTACTGCAAAGAAGCAAGGTGAAGTGATCCTTTGCTGCCTTGAAGCCCAGTGCAGCCCTGCAGAGACAGTGATCTCGCCCACAGCTAGATGGCAGCCTGAGCTATGGAAATATCCAGCCGGCAATGCTCCACATTTTCTTCCCTCCTGCAACCATGTTAAGTTAATTTTACAGTGTTGTATAAAATTATGCCACAATATTTCAATAGTGTAATACAGTAACAAAATGTGCGAAATAAATGTGTAATATGAGGTCTATTGTACATACAGTGGACCCCCGCATAACGATCACCTCCGAATGCGACCAATTATGTAAGTGTATTTATGTAAGTGCGTTTGTACGTGTATGTTTGGGGGTCTGAAATGGACTAATCTACTTCACAATATTCCTTATGGGAACAAATTCGGTCAGTACTGGCACCTGAACATACTTCTGGAGTGAAAAAATATCGTTAACCGGGGGTCCACTGTACATCTAAATACTGTGTTTTAAAACTTTATGCAGAACATTTAAATGAAATGTTATGATGAAGACCTATCCATATACAGGAGGGCCCCATTTGTACAGCTCTTAGGTTCCTGACCCCCAACAATAAACAAAAATTGCCGGTGGGTGGAAAAAGAGCAGTTTCTCATTATTGAATGTATCTAAAATGCCTGATAACATATTAACACTATCATACAGGAGGCCCCACTTATACGGCTGGTTAGGTTCCAGGCTACCGCCGTAAAGTGGAAACCGCCGTAAAGTGGAACACCCTTTTTTTCCACTTACAAATGCATACAAACACTAGATAACAAGTTTACACTAACATATATTAAGTTAGCAATAGAACCAGGCATCAAAAAACAATAAAAAAGTACAATACACACATAGTGCACTCATTACTTACCTTAAAATATTTATAGTCTTAATCTAGGGTGAGACAAGTAGTATTTATTGTAAGAAATCAAGTGTGGTATGTATGGTGTCAGCCAGGCTACCATACCAGGCCACCCCACCCACACATACTATTCTATGATATTTAAGCATCCCAGAGCGATAAAATGTATATACAGTTCACTCATTACCTACCTTAAAATATAGGGTGAGATGAGTAGTATTTATTGTAAAAAATCAAGTTTGGTATGTATGGTAGTCAGCCGGGCTACCATACCAGGCCAACCCACCTACACGTAATATTCTATTACATTTAAGCATCCCAGAGCGATAAAATGTATATACAGTTCACTCATTACTTACCTTAAAATATTTGTAGTCTTAATGTAGGGTCAGGAGTAAGTAAATGAGATAAAACGAATAAATGAGAGAGAGAAAGAATGAGTGCATGAGAGAGTACAGGCGCAGAGTTATGTAAACAAACCAGGCGAAGGTAAGTTTTGTAAACAAAGTGTACACGTCTGGTTTGTGTACAAGTTACATTGTGTACAGGTTGTCTCTACATTGATACGGTAGAATAAATAAAGAACACTCCCATTCTCATGTAACATCATTTTGAGAAGAAATGATGCTCTGAGTGAAGGCAATGGAAATAAGTCACTCTGACTTTTTTGGGTTATCCTAGGTTCTCTACACATGTGTTGTTATGTATGATAATCTATGTAACTGTATTTGTGTATACCTGAATAAACTTACTTACATACATACGAAAGGAATAATTTTCTACAGTTACCCCCAGTAACACATTTTCTCTTATGTTAGATTAGAGAAAATGTTATTCTTGGCATCACTTGTACAAGTTATCTGGCTACCACATCTCATATTTATGTTTATTTATTCTATTGTGGGGTGTATTTATCATCTTTTTATGTTATGTATCGTGTTTATTATATAATTTTGAAAAAAAATATAATGGATGGATTAATGAAAATGTGTATATTTACGTAATATACAACATTTAATGAGACTCGGTGATTATTATTATTATTATCATTTCTATATGGCGTCACTTGTGCAAGTCGTCTGCTACCACATCTCATATTTATGTTTATTTATTCTATTGTGGGGTGTATTTATCATCTTTTTATGTTATGTATCGTGTTTATTATATAATTTTGAAAAAATATCATAGATGGATTAATGAAAATGTGTATTTAACGTAATATACGACATTTAAATGAGACTCGATGATTATTATAATCATTACTAATATGACGTCTGGAGACATAAGAGACACTTACTGATTTTAATGTGTACCTGCATGCCAGCACAGTATGTAAGTTTATTTAAGTACAGGTATACATAAGTATAATTATCAGAGTATATATAAAATATGAAATAACTTTTAAAAACATTTGAAATTTTGGAGTTTCCAGACAAAATGGAGAGACTTAGTGCTTACTGAGCTCACGAAGAATGTAAACAAACAGGGTGGGGCGCGGTGACCGTATTAGAAAGTCAGCTGGGGGGAGCCGTATAGCGAGTTTTGGTCATAATTTGAAATGACCGTATTAGCGGAACGCCGCAAAGTGAAACGCCATAAAGCGGGGGCCCTCCTGTATACACGTATTAAGTGCTCAATACAGCTAGGCACAAAACAAAAGTAAAATAAATACACAGTGAACACAATACTTACCTTAAAATACACAGCCAGTTACCCTTCCTTTACAAAATTGTGTGAAAATGGTGGAAAAACGGTAAAAGTGTTGAACATAATGAACAAAAACTCAACCTGTCAGTATTGTACACCATTTTGATATTCACTCTGTCAGACACTGTAACACAATGGCATCTTGGTACAGAAAACACCTTGGACAAATTTTTCAAACGAGAATGGTTGAATCTGAGAGGGCATGACCTCTCGGTGATTACATTCTTTTTTCTACTACTCTACACCTCTCCTTCCGACAGTATAGTTTAAGTCTCCACACTGTCGCTTGAACTTCACATTGTTTCAGACTATGGAACAGAACTCTTCTCCAGGCTGAGGGATTGACAACCTCAAATCTGTCTTCAAGGGTGATGGGCTGATTACATCATCTTTACATCTCTACTGCTCCTGCCTTCTTTCTATACTCGACTGAATAAGCTTACTGTGTAGACAAAATGTGTCAGAATAATGATGACTAACTGTTGTCTGTGTGTCTTACTTACCATCAAGTGAAAGCCAATGAAAACATGGAACACTGAAAAGAGGGTGCTAAATAAGTGGGGCCCTCTTGTACTAGTGCCTCTAAGTACAGCACTGACCAAATTAATTCAAAGCATTAGAAATCTTCTGTATGAAGAAAGATTGAAGTCCCTTAAATTACATTCACTGTTACTTGATTTAAAGAGTTTTAACTGTACTTCATTAACACAGTTGCTATTTAATATTAGAGTCATATAAAATATATAATCTTACAGGTTCAGGCTAAATGCTACTACACCACTATGGTTTAATACTGTAATGTTACAATGAATTGTAAAGAATATTCATACAAGTATGCAAAATAAATTATGCAGGCTGTTTAACATTTGGAAATAGATCATTTACAATATACCAATAGACACCACATACCAAATTTAAAAAATTGAGTCTAGCATATATTGATACTGTCAATGACACTGATATTTCACATCAGATTTCCAATACACAGAGTCAAGAACACAGCATCATACATCTATTACAGTACATTGACAGAACTACAGTGATTTTGGTGGGCCAGTAATTCAATTAAAACTACCTTGATGTAAAGTTTAAAGTTTAATCAGTTTTGGGAGAAATGGCAGGACATTTTCCACCTATTTAAATTTAAATGACAAGTTGTGATGATTTATTTAAAGAAAATGTTTAGTGGACATGCCAGAAAGAAAACAAATTTTGATAAAAACTAAATCATTTGTATAGCTTGTATTCATATAGAGCACATACTGCCATAGTGGACTAGTGCAGTGTTGACTCCTTCCATATTAGTTGCCAGTGACTAAAGCATATAAACACTTACATACTCTGAATTTTGGGCTACAGTATAGATCATTGTATGTATATAATCAACATATTTTTGCCTGGGTCAAGTAGAGAATTTGTAACAAAACACTTCAACCATGAAGACCTCTCCCAAAAGTAGGTCTGCTATTTCTTTTCATCACAATAAATGCAGAGTGGCAGGCAAGTGCATTGTTTGCATGAATAATAATTCACAATAAATTAAATAAAAAATATATTAAGTAACCAACTTGAACACAGAGTGGAAGCATACATTTATCTTCTTTAAATCTTAAATATACAACACATGACCATTCCATAGAATGATTATCTCCAACATCAACATTCTATATCATAACAGACAACCAGAAGAATTTTGTATCTTTTTCTAAATTTAGTCAATTAGTTAATATGTCAAGAAAGTTGGTAACATATAAAACATACATGTTTACTACATGGGGTTAAATATCAAAAAAATATTGGTGCCGTCATCTGAAAGACAAAGAAAAAAATGGTCTTGACTGAATAACCCTTGATGCATAAACACAAATGTCTACAGTATTTTAGTGTCCCTATGGGTATGGTCATTAGGACAGAAATACAGTAATTTTAACCCTTTGACTGTCGCGGCCGTATATATACGTCTTACGAGGTACCGTGTTTGACGTATATATACTCATAAATTCTAGCGGCTTCAAATCAAGCAGGAGAAAGCTGGTAGGCCCACATGTGAGAGAATGGGTCTGTGTGGTCAGTGTGCACCATATAAAAAAAAAATCCTGGAGCACGCAGTGCATAATGAGAAAAAAAAAACTCCGACCATTTTTTTAATTAAAATGACGACTTTGTGGTCTATTTTCGTATAGTATTTATGGTTGTATTCTCGTTTTCTTGGTCTCATTTGATAGAATGGAAAACATATTATAGAAATAGAGGTGATTTTGACTGATTTTACTATAAAAAGAACCTAGAAATGGAGCTCAAAGTACGGGAAATGTTTGATTTTTGCCAATGTTCAAAAGTAAACAAATGATGCCACTGTCCAATAAATGTCCAACTAGCCATTCTAATATGCAGTCATGAATGGGTTGATGTTATTTATACAATTATTACAGTATTGCAGTAGTCTGCATAATAGTAAGTCTTCTATTTTTTGTTTGAATAAAAATTCAAAATAGAAAGCAAGAGTAATATTAAGAGGGGCCTGGAGACATGACTGATGAGCAAAGAAAATGTTATTTTAGAGCCAAGAATGTCTGCATTGTTCATTCTGGACCTTATTTTGAAATTGTCATATTTTTTAGTTTTCGTGAAATTGGCCAAATTGCAAATTTCTGACCACATTATTAGGTAGTTGAAATCAGTAAATGGGCAGTTTCGTGTACTCAATCGATAGAAAAAATGGAGTTCAAAAGAAATAGCTATGAGTTTGGGCGACTGGAATAATGGAATTTGCTGAAAATAGGGCTCAAAGTGGGCGAAATCGCCGATTTGTAAACAGCGCCGAGGTCGCTAACTTCGCGAGAGCATAATTCCGTCAGTTTTCCATCAAATTTCGTTTTTTTTGGTGTCATTACAATCGGGAAAAGATTCTCTATCATTTCATAAGAAAAAATAATTTTTTTTTTTTTTTAAATTTTGTGACACCAGGAGACACCTCAGGATTGGGGGTTGCGACAGTCAAAGGGTTAAACATCTCAGAACCTTGATGTAAAAAATTTGGTTAACTGTCTGCCCTTGCTGGAACAAATTCTTGATGAATGATTCCCACTGTGTCAAAAAAAAAAAAAAAAAAAATGCAATGAGCATGCTCTTGGCTAGTGTACTTTTTTTTTTTTTTTTTTTTTTTTTCCTGGATGAGTTGGGGCTTTTCTTTTGTGAAGATTGATGCTTGGACTCTGGGTCATACCCTAGATCCAAGTTTCATCACCAATAATGATCTTAGAAAGTATAACTGGGTCCTCAACTCATTTTTTGAAGTCCTAACAAACATCCAAGTCAGTGAATCAACAAGCAGGGCACAAATTTTTCAGTTACTCACCTTATGTTAAAATTTTCAGTCAAAATACTTTGATATGACCCATAAAAAATTCCCACAGCACTTGCAATGCCCTGAATACTCCGAAAATGATCTTCGTGAACAGCCTTCCCCACTTTTTCAATGTTGCATCTGTTTTTGATGTTGAGAGACAACCACCAACAACTGTGACAAAATCCACATGCATAAGACATCCAGAGTCCTCCACAAGCACATGTAAACACACCAGCATGCCAGTAGAAGAGACAATCTTAACAACACTTGCATAATATACCATAATTTGTACAACCATGTGATAAATTGGACTGATGCACTACTAACTGCCAAGGAGGATGACACTCAAAAAGAACTTGTAAAGTGCTAGCAACAGTATTTGCAACAACTTCAACCAGAACAACAGATTCTACAATTTGGTTGAATCTCTTGCTGGAAAACTGGAAAGTTTGGGAATGAATGTGACCTAACATGCATCTCGCTTTCTCTTCACAACACTTCTACTCACTACTTAATAAACTGTCCCTTCCATACTAGGTTTATTTACTTGTGACTTGATAAAACCCCCAATGCACAGATGAATCATCAATAAAGATTACATGTAACTACACTGCCTCTTTACCATCATATCAGTATTTCATGCAATTACCTATCCATCATCAGGGGTTATATTCTTAACTAATATTCAGGCAAAGTATTATTGAAACTATTGTACTTAATGTTATAATACAGGTTGGCCATCACTAATCCAGCATCATCAGGACCTGTAGGGGGCCGGATTAGTGATTTTTCCAATTACAGTGGACCCTCAGCTAACGATATTAATCCGTTCCTGAAAGCTCATCATATGCTGAAATTATCATTAGCTGAATTAATTTTCCCCATAAGAAATAATGGAAATCAAATTAATCTAAGCAAGACACCCCAAAGTATGAAAAAAAAATTTTTTACCACATGAAATATTAATTTTAATACACACAAATCGACACTTACCTTTATTGAAGATCTGGTGATGATTGATGGGATGGGAGGAGGGGAGTGTGTGGAAGTTGTTAATGTTTAGAAGGGGAATCCCCTTCCATTAGGACTTGAGGTATCAAGTCCTTTTCTGGGGTTACTTCCCTTCTTCTTTTAATGCCACTAGGACCAGCTTGAGAGTCACTGGACCTCTGTCGCACAACATATCTGTCCATAGAGGCCTGTACCTCCCGTTCCTTTATGATTTGTCTAAAGTGGTTCACAACGCTGTCATTGTAATAGTCACCAGAACGGCTTGCAATAGCTGTGTGAGGGTGATTTTCATCCATAAAGGTTTGCACTTCAAGCCACTTTGCACACATTTCCTTAATCTCTTTCTTCACATCCATAGTAATTCTCACCCTTTTTTCTGCAGGGTTGGCACTAGAAGCTTTCTTGGGGCCCAAGAAGACTTATTTTGCAGGTACAATCACTAAAAACACTGTGACAATATGAAATGTTCCGATTGTATGCATGGATGCGACCGCACTGGCTGGCTTGTAAACACTGGCACCCACAGGACAGCTGAGGCGCGCTCAGGCCACACGTGGACACGTCTCGAACGAATCGTGTAGGGCGAGTATTTTAGCATTAGCCGAGGCAAAATTTTTGCGTTAAAATGTATCGTATGCTGGATTTAACGTTAGGTGATGCCATCGTTAGCTGAGGGTCCACTGTACAGAGTAGTTAGGTTAGAATACACTTAATCCAATGGCGATAATTATGCATCGGCGATTTCCACCACTTTACGCCCTATTTTTGGTATTCCTTCTATCTGTCAATTGAGTACAAGAAACCGCCCATTTATCTATTTCAACTACCCAATAGTGGTCAAAAATTGGTAATTTGGCCAATTTCACACAAATTTCAAGAGATGCCAATTTCAAAATAGGGTCCAGAATAAACAATGCAGACATTCCTAGCACTAAAATAACATTTTCTCTGTTCATCAGTCACATTATGCTTGCTTTAGTCATATTATGCTTGCTTTCCATTTTGAATTTTTATTAAAACAAAAAACTGAAGATTTACTGTTATGCAGACCACTGCAGTATTGTAATAATTGCACATTAGACCGGCCAGTTGGGCACGTATTGGACATTTTCTCTGTTCATTAGTCACGTCTCCAGGCCCCTCTTATATTATGGTAGCTTTCCATTTTAAATTTTTATTCATACAAAAAACAGAAGATTTACTGTTATGCAGACTTCTGCAGTATTGTAATAATTGTATAATGTCAACTCATTTGTGCTGCATATTAGACTGGCCAGTTGGACATGTATTGGACAGTGACGTCATTTATTTACTCTTGAACATTGGCAAAAATCGAACAATTCCAGTACTTTGAGCTCAATTTTAAGGTACTTTCTGGTGTGAAACCAATCAAAATTATATCTATTTCTGTAATATATCTTCCAGTCTATCAAATGAGACAAAAAAAAAAAAAAAAAAAAAAAAAAAAAAAAAAAAAAAAGAGAATACAACCATACAAAAAGTCTGGGGCCATGAATGTTGATACATTGTTCCCTTATTGTGCCCACTGCACCCCTACTCCTTAATGGGTTTATTTTGCATTTCCTCCCATCTCTCTCACTTCAGTATGTTGTTATGGCAGTGTGCAGATTTGAGACCAGGCCCTAGAGTACTTTAAAGGTACAGTATATATTATCATGTATCTCTCTCTCCTCCACTCCAGTGAGTACACGTTCAAGACTTTAAGGTGTTCCCAGTAATTTAAGTGCTTTACTGGTTGTGTGTGTGCCGTAAACAATCTCTGTATTTGTTACAGCTCTGATATTTCTCCTGCTCTGAAAGGGGCCGTCAGTACTGAGCAATATTCCAAATGAGGGAGCACTAGCAATTTGAAGAGTGTCACCATTGGCATTACTTCCCTTGTTTTGAAAGTTTTCAATACCCATCCCATCATCCTCTTGACTGTCATGATCTTTGTCTTATGTTCCTTGAAAGAAGAGTCAGCTGACATAATTAGTCTTAAGTCTTTTACGTATTCCTTTCATTCTATTTGGTGATCCTCTTGAGTTTTGTATACAGTGAGCCTTTTTAATTCTTCATTCTTTCCCTACCTAAGCAGCTGGAACTTATCACCACTGAATATCATGTTGTTCTCCATTGCCCACTGGAAAACCCTGCTTATGTCTTCGTGTAATTTTTCAGTGTCTTCTACTGTAGTGACTGTCATGCTTATTTTAGTGTCATCTGTAAATGATACAAAATTGTGATGGGTGTTTTTATCTATATCTGCTATGAGGATGAGAAACAGCAGAGGTGCCAGGACAGTGCCTTGGGAAACTGAGCTTTTTACCTCACTGATGCTGGAATTGCTCTTTTTACTACTACTTTTTCTGTTCTGTGTGATAGGAACTCGAAAATCCATCTGCCTACCTTCCTTCCAGTGGTGGGCACAGCTAACCAAAAAGTTAGCTTAACTAACCTCTAATCCATTAACTAAAAAAATTAGCTCCAATAACGCTAAACCGCTAAATGACAGAAAAAATTAGCGGAAACTAACGCTAACTTTTTCACATGAATTCAGATTAAGTTTAGTTTTTTGGTCTTTTACTTTTAAGACTTTTAGAACAGACCTGGAGAGCTTCCTAATAAGATCTAGAATGCCAAGGTCATAAGGACAGTGTTGCAAATAGTACTCATCTTTAATACTGTACTCAAGCATAAGTACCAGCATTGTAAAGTAACGAAATAAAGCTACTTGAGTAACTTTTCTCGGTATTTACTTTTTAAAAAGTACTGAAATTACTCACTACTTTTACTTAAGTACTAAAGTCTGTTATTACTTTTACTTCACTACTAACTGACGTTACATCAGTAATTTTTGAAAAATAAACACCAAGAAAAGTTACTTAAGTGCAGTACCCAGGTACTTTTACTTCGTTACTTTACAACACTGGGAAAGGTTCTGGATTTCTAAACTGTCATAACTTGCAATATCCACAAAAATTAAGAAAATTTCAAAAAAGCTATAGTAGTTTAATAAGCGCTTATAACTCATAAATGCCTTATAAGATATTCCTCCAGCTGTTTACGGCTGACCAAAATCCTGCCCAGGGTTGGGTGGGACATTGACATCTTGCTGGGGTTCAGCGTCTTGATCAGGCTGACAAAGGTGTGGGATTCCACTACACGCAGCGGTAGCATATTGCAGATGAACAGGCCACAATCTCTGTGTCTACCACAGGCTGACGGACACTAGTGCCAGCAGCTGCTGCAGACTCCTCAACAACCCCTCAGGTGGAACAGAAATGTCTCCCTTGTTCATAACAATAAGTGACAATGCGCCCCGGTGATCACTGACACTGTAAGACTATAACAATGCTGCTCAGATGCTACTGCTGCTGCAGCGACAAGTCACACTTACACGTAGTAAGCCAATAGTGTGCCTGACTGACTGTTGGAGAAATGCCCATAACAGACAGGAACAAACACGTGTGCCGTTGAAAAGGTACTGCCTTCTAACTACCAACATAGGAATTTTTTTTTAGCAGACTCAAATTTAGCGGAACTCTATTTAGCAGAAGCTAACTGGTCCGCTAACGGTTTTTCGAAGTTAGCGGAAACGCTAATCCGCTAAACAAAAAGTTAGTTCCACTAATTAGCGGTTAGCAGAACTGTGCCCACCACTGCTACCTTCCCCATAATTTTGTGCGCTATCATTTGTCAAACGTCTTTGCAAAATCTGTGCAGATCACATACGCATTTTGGTCGTTTTCCAACACCACCATAATTCTGTCATGGTGGTTCAGCAGCTTTAACAGGCATGATTATCCTGCTCTAAAGCCATGCTGGTTTGGGTTATGCCGGTTGTGCTGGTCCAAGAAATTTATAACCTGACATTTGCTTTTTCACTCTTTAAGCACCATCATCAATAAACATCCATCTGTGTGTAGATCAAACCAAGGTATTTTGGAAAGCTTGCAGCATGAGTAAATTTTTTATACACTACTCAAAACATTCAACAGATGGCAGAATATATTGGAAACATTCACAGACATATTAGGAATTTCAAGTTTTATGGCCCATAATAGGGATGGTTATACTTCAACACAGGGCTCTGTATTGCATGCCATGCATATTTTCCACTAACGTAGATACTACAGTGGACAGATGAACCAACTGGTTGTCACCATTCAAGGAAGGTCTGTAATCAGAGAAATGATTCACTAACTCATCATTGTGTAACTCTCAACCTATTCTGCATCAGGTGAACTTTTAATTAAAACAGTATTAAGCACCTCTCTTTAGTGGCAACTTTACACTATTCGCTGTTATGCAAAGTTAAGATGATCTGTCGCATTAATGAAAGTAGATTCTTGTACTATTTCACTAAGCAGAATCAGTGTTGAAACTCCCCATTATAATTACATTTGCACTTTCCTACATAATGAATTTTTAAAGTATTTCAGCTGTCACCCTAAATCTGCATTCAAGTATTATACTGATATTAACATAGAACACACACACTATAATAAATTATCTGGCACCAAATGAGATCACATCATAAAATAACCTACTGGAAAGTGTAAATAAAGTAGCTGATCACCGTCCATATTCTTACACATTTGGGGCACATAACTGCTATGGGTTTAGCACTTCATAAATGTGTAACTCATTCTCACATCACTGGTAATATCATGCAGATCTCACTGTTTCCAGGTGTTTTTAACCACCTCACTGTCAAAGGTATCACAGCCCTTTTTATAAATTTACTTATTTGTGGTTAAATATACATTTATATATCTGCATCACCTAACACAGAAAATAGCATCTGCAAGTTTACTGGACACATCAAGAATGTGGCATTGGAGACCTCATAAGAAAATTAATGCAGTTGAATAATGAAAGACTGAAATATAACTAATATGAACTACTCATCAGGGAAGTGCAACCCTACAAATTCAGCACTTCCTCTCCAATACAACAACCACTCCTCAGGATGTAAGTATTGGCAACATGTATCAATGCCAACAACTCTGCAACAAGTTTCAGCATGCATTAAAATTTTAGCAGACACACACTATAATATGTATATAAATTTCTTTAGTAGCGACAATTTAAAAGATAAAATTACAGATTTATACTGACTCTATAACTAACATACTGTACATAGGAATTAATCCATTATGGACTGGAGAAAAGCCAAGAAAATGAACGTTATTATATATAAAAATAATGCTCTGCTTAAATATCCAATTATTAAATATTTCATAAAAACTATCTCAAACTGAAAAGCTTAAAATTAAGTGAACAAGTTATTGCTTTCAGCATTAACGTACTTTACATACATTAGATATACAAATACATACATATGCATATACAAAGTACTGTATATAAAAAAACTACATAGCTGTAGTGTAATGAACATTAATGACAAATATATAGTCACACATTAGTGTTATTAATCACTTTTACACTCCTAAAACTTAAATCAATTTATCGTATATGTTTTCACATTGTAACAAACTACGTATAACCTGAAAATTAATTTTAACAATAAAGTGATTGTAAGGTGTAAACTGTGTAGCTCTGCCTTTAGTGGTAAGTTACCTTTCAATTATATAGTACGTACTTACAAGACTTCATTGTATAGCACTTTCATAACAACAATACTCTTGCAATCATTTGCCGCATTGTGTACAAGCCTTATTTAATTTTAAACTTTCCAAAGATAATAACAGTATGATTTCTGCTCAAATATATTGAACTTAAGACTGACGATTTGAGTATCATGTAATACAGCATTCTTAACACTGTAAGTACCATACCTAGTTACAATGAATATTATATACTTTGTGTGCCTTCTTACAATGATTTCTCTCTTATTCAAAGAAGTGATTGGGGAAAGGGGTACCCAAATTACAGAAATTCTATGTAATAGAAGAATGAAAATTCTCTTAGTTGGAAAACAAATTCAAATTAAAGATACAGTACTGTATGGTACTGGATTTTTCCAACTGAAATTAGTAATTTTTACAATCATTAAGAAAATTCAGAATCTCAGATTATTATTCAAAGCTCAAAGTCTGTGAATATCCATCCTTCATATTTGTAGATGAATGGTTCAGAGAACCGACATGTTGATAAATTAGACACATGTGCAACTCTTGGGTATCTTTATTGAGGAAACGTTTCGCCACACAGTGGCTTCATCAGTCCATACAAAGGAGAATCTTGAACAGGAATTCTTCGCTTGCCTAATTCTTGGGCACGACCTACTTCAACATTGAACAAATGTTACATGACCTACGACTGCTGCACCTCTCCTGCCAACGGTTTATAAGCTCCTCAGCACGTATGCCGTATTCTATTCAAGATTGATGGACTGACCACATCGACTCAAGGTTGAGGGACTGATTACCTCATTCTCCTCCTGTTCTTCAAGATTCTCCTTTGTATGGACTGATGAAGCCACTGTGGGGCGAAACGTTTCCTCAATAAATATACCCAAGAGTTGCACATGTGTCTAATTTATCAACATGTCAGTTCTCTGAACCATTCATCTACAAACCTGTCAGACACTGCAACTTCTTGGGATCTTAATACTTGGGAATTCTTCGCTTGCCTAATTCTTGGGCACGACCTACTTCAACATTGAACAAATGTTACACGACCTACGACTGCTGCACCTCTCCTGCCAACGGTTTATAAGCTCCTCAGCACGTATGCCGTATTCTATTCAAGATTGATGGACTGACCACATCGACTCAAGGTTGAGGGACTGATTACCTCATTCTCCTCCTGTTCTTCAAGATTCTCCTTTGTATGGACTGATGAAGCCACTGTGTGGCGAAACGTTTCCTCAATAAAGATACCCAAGAGTTGCACATGTGTCTAATTTATCGTCCTTCATATATATTTAGAAAAAATATTTAATAATTTTCTTAATAAAATTGCCGTTTTTAGGGATACATACTCCAAATAATTGGGGGGGGGGGGAATTTTCTAAACTGGAAATAAAGGATTTTTGCTATTTGTAAATTTACACGTTGCAGAGACTTTCAAACTTAAATCAAATGTAATTGTGAAACTGGGAGAATTTTAAACAGAGAGAAATTAATGTACGGTACTTCATTATGAGATTCAACAAAAAATTAAGATACCATATCTATTCTTGATATTTACACATTTAAAGCTTCTGTTTTCTTTGATATTGATGTAAGAGAATGAACCGAGAGACAAAAAGTATCTTCACCCATCAATGGTGAGTATGGTGGTGGTGGCACAGCACAATGGGTATGTTGCGATGATGCTGTATAGAGAGAGCCCGTTGATGACCACATCTTAATACCCGAATCATTATCATTTTCACACTTATATTTTAAATCGTACTTAGGTGGATCTTTTTCACATTTATTCTTAGTTCGTGTTTCAGTTTTAATATAATTGAGAGGTATATCAACAAAATCATTATTATCACTGTTAACCGCTGTATTTTCATCTCTAGGAGACTGATCAACAAATGGCTTTTCAATGAAGTAGATAGCTTTTTGATCGTCGCTTAACAGAATAGGAGCCCTAGGTCTCTGGAACTCCACTGTACACATAGTGTTGGGGAGGTTTTCATTAGGTAGTAGTGCTGGATTCATTGGCTTTGTGAAAAAAGCCCTTGGCTTTGCCATCTCATGGCTTAAATACACTTTACTCCTATTTCTGTGTCGGCGAAATACCCAAAGTAAAGTTGATACAATTCCAAGCATTACAACAATACTGCAACAAACTGATAATGCAATTACAACTGAAGGATTCAACTGAATGCCATCCCTAGTTGCATCTGTTAATGGCATCTCATATATTAATGACTCTTCTGTCTTGTTTTTACTATCCTTTGTTAGAATCTGAGTGCCATTTCCAAAATCAGTCACATTATAAGTAAGGATAGGAATTCCTACTGAAAGAGTATTACTGGTACCATCAAATGCCTCACCCTTACTGGTCATTTCTGGAGTCTGCTTGCTTTCCTTTCCCGAATATCTACTGTCTATGTAATCTGGAGACGCTGTTGTATATTCAGCATTTATTTCCACCCGTAACTCTACATCTGAGGCAAATGTATCGTTATTCACCAAATTATTTGCTTTCTGATACTGTTCTGTTGACCTCATTTCAGGATCTTGTTCAGTTGAATCTGTCACACCAACGCCACTGTTAGGTCCTGTATCATGGATATTTTCCAAAAACTTTCTTATTATTTCAGACTTTTGAGGACTACCTAAGTCTGTAGGCTGTGTCAAGTTATGTTGCTGGCTATGTAAGTGTCTATTATCAGGGTCAACCCAAGTAGTAACAGTTGCACTTCGTGTAGCTGTAGAGTATGATGACCCTTCATAATTTGTTGCTTTAGCTATCTGACTTGGGTCAAACACTATGTGTGCATCCACTTTTAGTCCCTCTCTAGTTGTCATAATTTTATGGTCAAAGTTCCCAAGATCATCTAAAGGATTACTTGTAGCATCCAATACTATCTCTGTAACTGGAGATGCCTCAAGTAAAAAGTTTTGCTCTTCTGAGTCTGTACTGTTTCTTAGATCTGTGTCAAAAGGTGTTGAAGAATGAGCTACTGAAAAGTCATACAACTCTCTGTCTGAAACAATGTCAATGTTACTATCTGAAGATCTTGGAGGCTGAGTCACTGACCAATTATATTCTTCGGTGTTCATGTCAGTGCTATCTCCAGATGATGTCAGGGTCGTCAATGACCCATCATATTCTTCGGTGTTAGGGAGTATATCAATACTATCGCCAGATAATGATGAAACTGTCACTGACAAATCATATTCCTCACCACTAGATAAAACATCAGAGCCATCACCAGATGATTTTGAAGGAGTCGCTAGCCAATCATCTTTTTCATTCTTTGTGAAAATGTGTGCGCTAAACTGATGTACATCTTTCTGAGACCATGTTGTTGGTTCCGTATTATCAGTAATCTCTGCTGAAGATGGAATATTTGTTGTGAATATATCCGTATTGTAGTGCATGTCTTGTGTTTCATTTTCTTCAAGACTTATATCAGTATTGATACTTACTCTTGTTCTATTAACACCACCAGATTTATAAATTTTATTTACTGTCTTGTATTTACTTATTGTATCTGCAGGATCTTCTTCTGTAATTCCAATATTTTTACTTGTTAAATTATTCGAAAGTTTTATTAATTCAATAATACCAAAGTGATTAGTAAAGTCCACTGAATTTTCATTAGGGTTTGCAGTCTTAATATAACTGTCATTACTGTAGTTATTAGATACTTCTAATTCCCCTGTGATACCAGTAATTTCTTCAGCAGTGAGTTCTGAGGTAGAATAAGTTAAATCTGTAGGCAGGGTGGAATCATTCTCCATATATATTTTTTCAGCACTCCTTATACTGGGACTTATGAAAGCATCATTAAATACTGGGGCCTCTGTATTGACTTCAGAATTCTTGTAAGTTGCAACACTAGAAGGTCCTTGATTTTCCTTTAGTATGGCTTCATCCAAAGTCAGTTGGAGTGGAGGTGTCACCATCTAAAAGGACAAAATATGTTTGTTAAACAAGTTTCTGGTTTAAAAGTTCTGCCTATTCTTTAAAATTCTGCTCTCATTCTTAATAAACATGATTCTAGGTTTCCATATTTTAATGTTAACAAAGATTTAAGAATATATAACACTACAGTAATTGCCCAATTAGGATGAGAAATTCTGATGGCATACAGTATATTTATATGGACTACAGATATAGGGCTCATTTAATCTTTCCTAATCTAACCTTAATGACCAAAATTGCAGATTTTTTTTTTTAACATACCAGTGTCTCCCACTAAGGCCATTAATGTGACCCATGAAAGAAGAAAACTACAAGTTTTCTTCTTTTTAAATATAGTAATTCATACAGAAGAGGGTTACTAGCCCCTTGCTCATGGCATTTTAGTTGCCTTTTATGGTATGCATGGCTTATGGAGGAAAGATTCTTTTCCACCTCCCCATGGAAAAGAAAATATGTATACATATACAGTGATACCCCGAGTTTCGAACTGCTCCCAACTTGAACATTTATGTGAGTGTATTTGTGTAAGTGCATTTGTAAGTGTATTTTTGAGGGTCTGAAATGGATTAATCTAATTTACATTATTCCTTATGAGAACAAATTTGTTCGGTATTGGCACTCGAACAGCATTCTGGAAAAAATAAATTCGAAACTCTGGGTACCACTATACTATTATTATTTAAAATACGTACATACTACATTAAGGGAGAAGAGAAACTAATACATAAATACCAGAACTACAGTGGACCCCCGGTTATCGGCCGGTTCAGTTATCGGCTAACTCGGTTATCGGCCGGTTTTTCGGCGCCCGGTTATCAGCCGTTAATTCGGTCATCGACCATTTGGGAGGCATCCATCCGCTGGCTGGGACCGCTTGCGAGTCAGTTTGGCTTTGTCTCTGGGTGAGTGAGGAAGGTTCTGCTCATTCATCCAAACATTTTGCTATAATCCATTATTTTTTGTGGTTACTAATCGAGTACAACTGCAAAATAAGCAACCATGGGTCCAAAGAAACACATTACATAGTACAGTGGATCCCCCGCCTTACGATATTAATCCATTCCTGAGAGCTCATCGTAAGCCGAATTAATTTTCCCCATAAGAAATAATGGAAATCAAATTAATCCGTTCCTGACACCCCAAAGTATGAAAAAAAAAAATTTTACCACATGAAATATTAATTTTAATACACACAAACTGAAGAAGATATGCACAATTACTACTCTACTAAGAATAGAATACATGACACTTACCTTTATTGAAGATTTGGTGATGATTGATGGGATGGGAGGAGGGGAGTGTGTGGAAGTTATTGTTTAGAAGGGGAATCCCCTTCCATTAGGACTTGAGGTAGCAAGTCCTAATGGACTTGGACCAGCTTCAGAGTCACTGGACCTCTGTCGCACAACAAATCTGTCCATAGAGCTCTGTACCTCCCGTTCCTTTAAGACTTTCCTAAAATGGGCCATAACATTGTCATTGTACAGGTTGCCAACACGGCTTGCAGTAGCTGTGTCAGGGTGATTTTCATCCATAAAGGTTTGCAGTTCAACCCACTTTGCACACATTTCCTTAATCTCTTTTTTCAATTCCATACTAATTCTCGCCCTTTTTACCACAGGGATGGCACTAAAAGCTTTTTTGGGGTTCATGGTGACTTATTTTGCAGTTACAAGCACTAAAAACACTGGGATACTGTGAAATGTACCGAATGCATGCATAGATGCTACTGCACTGGCTGGCTTGTAAACACTGGCGCTGAGGCCACACGTGGGACACGTCCCGGACGAATCACGTAAGGCAAGTTTTTTATCATGAGACGAGGCAAAATTTTTGCGTTCAAATGCTTCATATGGCGGATTTAACGTAATGAGATGCGTTCGTAAGGCGGGGGTCCACCGTACAGTGGACCCCCGGTTCCCGATATTAATCCGTTCCTGAGAGCTCATCGTAAACCAAAAATATCGGAAAGCGAATCAATTTTCCCCATAAGAAATAATGGAAATCAAATTAATCCATGCAAGACACCCAAAAGTATGAAAAAAAAAAACTTTTACCACATGAAATATTAAGTTTAATGCAATAGAATAATTACAATAACAACAATAACAATGGATTAATAACAATAGAATATAATTGACACTTACCTTTAATGAAGATCTGGTGATGATTGATGGGATGGGAGGAGGAGTGTGTGTTGAACCTATTGGATAGAAGGGAAGTCCCCCTCCAGTAGCGCTGGAGGTATCAAGTCTTTTTCCGGGGTTTATTTATTTATTTATTTATTTAATTTATTTATTTATTTATTTAATAATTTGAGCATACATACAGAGGTACAAAAAAATACAGGTAAGAGCAGCATGCCAAAGCCGCTTGTATGCATAGAATTACGGGCTGGCTTAAAATTAACTTAAGATTAACTAAGCAATGATGTAATCAGTGATAAAACATTATTGTAAACAGATAACAATAAAGCACAAATGAGTATCACAAAGACAGGTCATATGGTTGCATGCATTGCTGTACATTCAGTCGAATGGAGTATTCTGTTTGTGGCATGCAAAGAGTACGTAACCTTTATTCGGCGCATGTACACACCCTCATTTACAGGCTATCTCCCCCAACCAGCGAACCAGGTTGCTAAGAGTTGATGATGGGGCCCCGTCGTTCAACTAGTGACCAGGTTCTAGCCAATAAGAAGATGGTTTTGGCAATCGCAGAGGTTATGTGGGTACCACTCTCCTGTCTGCCCTTGTCATTCCCATTCTAGAGCTGGTTGAAGCACGGTCTGGTATCTTGTGGCTTCTATTTCTGCCTTGCTTACCGTGGAGTGCACTATACTTATCACTGTACATAGTGTACATATTGCTGTTCTAAATTGGTGAAGGATAATACAAGTCAAACTTTTTCTGCTGTGTTTATTTTGCTCCCATTACACCCGGGATAACAGGCCATTTGGAATCCTGGGTTGTAATATGGGTAGCCTGTCCGAGAGCTGGAGCTGGATTTAGAGAAACGGTTGAGCTTAGGGTGAAGCTCATACAGGAACATTATCCCAGCTTGCTGTCTGGCATTGCATTCGTTTTCCCTACGCTTTACAAATTTTGCGTGTCAGTTACTGTTATGGTCAGCCTTGCTATTGTGTGATCGTTCAACAGCTCGCTACTAGCTTGTTCGGTGTGCTTGCTTCGCTACGGTCAATCTTCTAGAACAGTGTAGCTGTCTGGCATTGCTTTACAAATTTTGCGTGTCAGTTGTTACTAGCCTGTTCGGTGTGGAGAATTTTTGGCAGTCAGCTTTGCTTGTATGCGTATTCTGCAATCGTACTGTGCATAGCTAAGCGTGTTCTGCAATTTAACATGTTACGTTGGGGTATTCTGCAATCGTACTGTGCACAGCAAATAACTTATGCCACCTAGACGAGTCAGACGTCTGGTGTGGGCATATACTTTGCATAACCTACCTAAATTGTCCCTACAGCGTTGTTGGAAAATTTGCTCGTTCCATTGGCTTTAAATAAAAACGCACTCTCACAGCTGCGCAACTGCGTTCACTGATTGCTGACAAACTTATAGAAGAAGAGATGGCACATCAGACTCCTCCCTCTACGGGAGCTAGAGCAAAAACTACTATGTTCTCGCAGGAGGAAGATGATACACCTACGCAGCAAAATGGTCAGTATAGTGCAGCTGGGTTGTCTCAAGGTGAATCAGCATCGTTGGCAATTGAGCTGGCAAAAATCAATCTTGAGCAAACTAAGGAACAGAGAGCATTCGCAAGGGAAGAATTTGATAGGGAAAGAGAAAGGAGGCAGTTTTTGCATTCTGTAAATGATTTTAGTTTACAAAAAGCAGTACAGTTTGTTCCCCGCTTCAATGAGGCCAAACCAGAACAATTTTTCGAAAGCTTCGATAATCAGGCTCGAGCCTTGAGGTGGCCGGAACAGCATTGGGCATCGTTGGTTCATACAGCATTGTTTGGTAAGGACAGGAATTTACGTCAGTATTAAAATGACGCTGAATTTTCTGTTTATCAAGTAGTGAAGACCACAGTGTTGGGGGCATATACCATGTATCCCAGCCAAATACCGTAAGCTTTTTAAACTAAGGAGGGGGCCCAGCTTGGTCAATCCCTAGTGGACTTTGTGAGACGGCAAACCAAAGCTTTTAAACCAGCGGGTATAAAGAAAGTGGTGTCTCTACCTTTGAGGAGCTGGTACAGCTTATTCTGACTGAAAACCCTGCTGGAGTCTGTGGGCCCAGAGGTTCGAGTCTTTCTGCAGGATCGTGATTTAAACCACTGCATTGGGGGGCGCCAGGTTGGCTGATACCTTCGAAACTAACCCTCCTTGTCCGAGCGGGTCCCGTCTCTCTTTTCAACAGCCTGGCATGAGCAGAGATCGTAAACCCTTTGGAGATGAAGTGCCAGCCGGAGGGAGAACGTCTACGTCAGCCAACAAAGTCACTGGTAGCCACGCTTCTCAACTTATGGTCCCCCTGCGGAGAGGCAAACTATCATGGTGATCTCGACAACAGTATCCAGAGTGACACCAGCCAGAACGACACCATTTGCAAACGTCAGCAGGGAGTAAAGGGCAAGCCTGTCGTCTGCTTCCTGTGTAATAAAGTAGGTCCATCCGTCCCAACTGCCCCCATAAAACCCCAAAACCCCTTGGGAAAATCTCTAATATCCCTAGTAACATGTCCCTAGAGAAGTAGAAAAAGGTATGGCCCTTATTATTGCAAGAGTCTTATTTCCCTTCAGGAAAACTCAGAAACAACTGAAGTAAAGACCTTTAGAGATCTGGAGCATATTGCTCACTTGTAAGAGAAGGAATATTACCCCTTTCAGAGAACACTTCCTTGAATTCCTCTGTTTTATTGGAAGCATTTAGAGGAGCTATATATTCTGTCCCTTTGCATAAAATTTATGTACAGTGCAAATATTACACTGGGTACTTGACTGTAGGTGTCTCAAAAGGAT